TCAGGATAAACATACAGTACACTAAGTACATACAAGACCACTGTAAAGCACTTGTTTAAACATACACATATTGTATCACTTGCTTTACCTTCCCTGTCTCCATTGAGGTCACACCTGTCACATGTACTCTGTATGGACGATAACAGATTAGATTATATATTTCCAACTGCTGTCCACTTATAAAATCAAAGAAAGTCCCCCGAGTGTTTGCTTGATTGCTTTCCTGAAAAAATAAGTGTTTTCCATGGGGTAGCCGAAGGTAATGATGTCACTTTCACATTCAATTTAGATCCCTGCTGAAAACATAATTTAGATCTCAATTATCCCAGTCGTTTGTTCTCGTTCTTTCTTTGCAGCTGAAAGGCTCGAGGTGACTTCTCATTGATTTTCTCCCCTCGCCAAAGTCTTTTCTGCCCTGTCAGACGAGGACACAGTGCAGGGTTTGTACTGTACACTGAGCATTTCCATTTATCTCTCTACGTGAGACATGTTATCAAACTCTGCGGAAATGTAGACACAGTGACACACCACTGACAACTGACAATTCTATCTTTCATGGTCATAATTGGCCAGTATAAGCAACTACTGCACTGTAGCCCAAAATGTCTAACCCAAAAAATGGTCATCCAAATGATTTACCAATGAGTCTTTGGGTCACAACATCTAAAGTACAAGTTCAGTAAATCTCACTGGACCTCATCTGTGCTTGCAAAGACAAAAGGCTAATTTATCAAACTTAAAGGACAATTATGGTTCCTTCAAAAGTCAACAATACCCACATTTAGAACAATTCCTCTGAAGCTGAAAAAGTTTAAAGTGCTTTGCTTTAAAATAACTGTGATTCCAATGTGGAGGAATACATAAAATGAGATTGAGAGAGTCTGAAAAGATGCTATCAACCAACAACTACATTTATCACTCTTAGAAAAGTCTATTTTAAAAGGTGTAGCTGACTTAATTCAAATGCGTATGATTGGAAAGAAGGTACTGGATATACCAGGCACAAGAAGAGTCTCTACACCTCAGACCACTGGGATCCTAAATGAGGAGGCTGCCTAAGACTGCACCCTCCTCTATTACTATTAAAAATATTTTTTACTTACTCATTTGAACTTTTACACTATTTATACTGAACAAATTATATGAGCTTATGGAATTAACTTCCTCTAGATCAATGGAAGTCTCACCTCCTATTAATACACAGCTGAAGAACGAAAGAGTGCAGGTGTGCGAGTCAGTCTTTCAGCCGCTTACTTTCCTGGATGCCTGGCAATTTTTTGGATTGTAAAGACTTGATCCAATTATCAACATAGTTATAACACATGCAGGAGCTCATTCAGTAGTACTGCAGAAAACAGCTTCAAGATTGACAGTCTCCCTCTTTGAGTTGCTTGAATGCAAGTCTGCATTTAGAGAATATGAAACCGCGCACAAAAGACATGGTCAATAGAGGCTCAACGCAAATCTCTTCACGCCAATAAAAACCTCAGCCCATCTCTCTCAACAATGCAAACAGCACAGATAGCAAAGCTTAAAATACTGAATCACACTGAACACAATAGGCCTGCACACTGTCTTAAACTACTTTGTGTCTGTTATTAATGCACTAATTTTTTTCAGCAGGTAAAACTAATATCTGCAACAATCTCCCCCACCGCACCCCCCCCGTTCCAGTCATTATGTAGCGACTTGCAATGCCTGATTGGATTGTATGAGAAATTAATTGGACTTCTGTGATAAACCAATGTACGAAGAGGAGGAGATTCTTCTCTGGAAGGGTTTTCTGGGTTGGAGGTATTCAGAAGTTCATTTTGTTTAAAAGACATTAGCAGATGGGGCGGAAGAGGCGAGAAAGCGAGGGGAGATAGCGACTTAATGAAAGTTTCCTTTCATGCCCTGAGGTTTCAGAGACAACTATTAACAAGAGGGAGGAAGATGAGAGAGAGGACGTAAGAAAGAAAAGAAGATTCAAAAAGTGCCCAGGAAACTCTACAGTTTAACAACTATTGTGCAGCCTGTTTCAAAGATGTATTTGGTCCCAGCGTAGTCTGCAGAAACTTTTATCACCTAGATGTAATAAAAAAAATAATCGAGATCAATTTAGACAAGGCCATAGAATTAACTAACCGTCTAAATCTTTTTTATTAAACACCAAAAAAAGTCTAAATCCAGCCCAATCTACCAATTTAATTTATGTGGAATGTCATTAAATGTGGCATATAAGGAAACCAACTTAAAGGAGCGATGTGATGCATTTTCTTATAGGTAAATTACACTTGAATTATGTATGGCACTAGAATTACCACAAAAAAGTGAAAAGAGAATTGCCTCTGACAGCATTCAACTGTGTGCAGGTTGGATTAGCTGCATGCCTAACAGCAAATGACAGGAAGAGGGAGCTGTTCTTTCTGTGAAAACATAGCTAAATACTAACCTTGCAAGGCAGCTGGTTAAAAGATCATGAAATCACAGATCAAATCAAGGATTTGTTGAAGTTTGCATGGTGATAGACAGACATTTCATCCAATTACCTGCCAAGTATTTATTTGAAAATATGAGATTATTCTGTGTGACAAACCATCTGGAGCCGTCAGGTTAGCTCAGGGGTAGGCAACCTGTGGCTCTTTAGCCCTTGTACGGTGGCTCCCTGTAAGTTTGACAAGAACTGACATTGAAATGAATAATAGTTATTTTTTTTAAATTTACATGTAACATTGTTGTAGGTAAAGTCACCAACATTGCAACCCCTTGAGCCACATCACTAGTGTGGATAATGAAAAGTCCAGTGCTTACACCACCCTAAAAATCACTCTAAAAAGACCAGCAACCAAAAAGAATATCTCTAAAGGTCTTCTTATTGACATTTTATATATTAAATTATTCAGTCAACTGTTGTTGACTATAAATTTGGATCCACTAAAAGTGTAATGCCTTACTGCCTCCATACTGCCAGAAATACTAGCTTCTTTATTTGCAGTTTAATTGAATTTAATTCAGTTCAATGCAACTTTTTAATCCTTACGGCTCAAACACAAACTACTACTAAGTATGTATTTATTGCCCAAAAACTAGCCCAGTTTATCTAAAACAAAATCAGGAAACAGAATTAGGGTGTAAAACTCCCTCCATGTCAAGTTTTTTCTCTTGTTGAAAGCAAGTCTACCCAGGTTCCTAAAACCCCCCAAAATTGCCTGAGAAAACACAGAGAATGTGTCCTCACTTTCATCAGTGGTGGCTATGGATCTGAATGCTGATTTTGCACATTTATCCTTCAGCAAAGAAAAAAAAAGAAAAACCTTTGACTGATGAGGCAAAGATCTCCTTTGTGACAGGAAGCACTGGGGTTTGTGAGAAACGTGGATTCATCTTCAGGATGTTGACGCTGTTTAAAAAGTAACAGGTAACACCCTATAAACACCAGAGAAAATGTGGAATGGATGAGGAAACAGACAAGTGACTGATACTCTGTGGGAAGCCTCTGTCTAAATTCCTCCAGACGATGCCTCACACACGGCATGTGCCAGCAGGAGGCTGATGGACGACCTCTTTCATGCTTTCCCCCCAATCAAGACCAGCGATCTGTCTGATCAAATTAGCCCTGGGTGATGTATGTGGTTGTCCAGGCTCAGCTGTGCATCTCTACCTTGAATCAAATGTCGTCCCTGGGTCAGTGCGGGGTCTTGCGAGTCGAGGTGACCTGTCTGACTTTAAGACAGCATCCTTGATCAACAGACAGCTGCTGTCTGCACACACACAGACACAGACACACACACACACACACACACACACACTCCCACACATATCCATAAACACGTACGCATGTTACTAGAGTGAGAATATTTCTCTGTGTTTGCTATCCATCACTTAAAAATAGTTTGGTGTATGATATGAGGACAGACTGTATTTGAAATACATCTTACTGCACTTAATACTTAACTGAGCTTTAATTATTATTTATCAAGAATTCTCCAAATTGATGCATATTATAAATGCATATTGAAATCCATGGACCACTGAATCAAACCGGTGACACTTTTTGGCTGTGGTTTTCTAAAACATTTCCAGTGTTGCCCTACTTTTTATTTCTGTTCCAGGAGAAAAAGTAAATTTATGGAAAATGCAGTGCATTTATATAGCACCTGCCTAGACTTCCGACCACTCAAAGCGTTTTACAGTACATGTCACATTCACCCATTCACACACATTCATACACTGCTTTCAGAGGCTGCCATGCAAGGTGTCAACTGCTCATCAGAAACTAACTAATTCCATTCACTCACACACATACACACACACCCATGGCAAAGCACCAGGAGTAATTTGGGGATCAGTATCTTGCCCAAGGGCAATTCAACATGCAGAGGGAGGAGCAGGGTATCGAACAACCAACCTTCTGATTGGTGGACAACCTACTCTACCTCCTAAAATACCAACAATGAAGTCTTTATATGCATGGCAAATATTTATTGAGGAGTCACTAAATCCATTAAAAAAACTGCACGGTAATTAAGTAGAGTGGTATGAGAGTTATCCAAATTAATTGGGGTTAATTAAAGGTTGGGCCTTTTTTTTGATTGTAGGAGGATTTCTATTGCAGTCAAGCACTTAATAGAAATATATACAAGCTCTTGTAAGTACACACAAACACACATAAAACCATCGCTGTGTGTTCAGCTTTTCATAAATCCAGTCAGGGAGGTCCTGTGGACTGACCAGTGGTTTTTGCTCCCTTTTAAACCTTGTGCCACACTCTGTACATGAACCCTGAAGTCTAAGTAGGAATCTTCTATTATTAGTGCAAGATACAGACTAACATGGATTAAGCCGAGAAAGAAATCCCAGCGGATGTTTAATACAGGTTTAATCCCCGCCAATGAGATTGGCCCATAACCTACTTATCAAATCCACAAAGGTGAGTTGAAGTGTAAACTGAGGTCACTGAGGAGGAAGTTTGTCTGTCTGTCGTACAGTACCTGTCCCAGACTATCACAGTGTCTTACCTGCTCCAGTTTCCAGTGGAACTCGGCCGGTCTGAAGGTGTCCACCTGGGTGAAGTCTCTCCTCAGCAGGAACACCAGGCGGCAGTTATGGACATACAGCGAATAGTGATGACGGTTCATCTCTGTGGGAGGGAGGGAGAAAGAGGAGTTAGACACCAGGGACTAAATCATCACACCTACTCACTGTCAGGTAAACCTGACATAGAGCTTTATGAAAACTCTCAAAAGTAGGACAGCAGCACTGCTTCGAAGGAGACCAACTTTCTAAAGGTCATTTCATGTAATTTTTCACTAGAATTCTTAACAAAAAATGCAACGCGATGGTGTAATTTATTTTTTTAATGCTGGATTATTACAGAGCTCCAAATTTATAATACTGTTCACTGTAACAGCATTTGAACAGAACATTTCCCAAAGGTACCTTAGGATATTTTACAGTATCTATCAGGTATACCTAAACAAATGATGAAGATGATAACACACAGCACATTAAGTTATACATTTCACTGTCAACTTATATGTATGCAGAGAATATTTGCATGTACATGTTCACATCTTGTGGGAGCAATTGTCCTTTGTATCCACTCTTGGTGACCTTTATTTCCTCATTTGGTGTTTGCCATTGTATGGGTCCTTAGCCATTGTCTTATCATGTAGCATGGAGCTGCTTCCTGTTTGCTATCTGTTGCTTAAACCCTGTCCTCAATTAATCTATCTCCTAACACATTGTACGTAAAACTTAAATCAGAGGCTTGGTTGGGATTAACCAAATTGATTTATGGTGTGTAGTGTTTACATTTCAAATTCGAACCATCATGGTCAAGTCAGACGCAACCATGAGAGGATCATAATCTTAAAGGATAAGGATGGTGTTATTCCATGTTTTTTTACTGTCAGAAAATCCAACTGAAGGATCAAAACCAACAAGGAGACAGACTGTCTCTTAATACTGACTTCTCTAACTTCAAATCAAATGAAATCAAAATCAGATCAAAAAATGAAGTCAGCTTCTGAAACAGCAGGGCACTGTTGATTTTGACAAATGCTACTCACACAGGAGTAAACAGTGCATTTGTTGTGGACTATTTGCAGCTACGGATTAATACACATTTGTTCTAGTGCGTATTTATGGCAGCAGGTTGGTGTACATATGTGTGATAAAGTAAAAAGGAACTACAATGCCCATGTTCATTTTAATAAAGGAACACGTCACCCAGTGTAACTGCATGACTCGATCATGTGTCTTTGGGCAACAATGGAGTTCTAAGGCACAAAGGGATAAGAGACATGGATACCAGGCTTTGTCTACACAGATGATACAGGATTTGTTGACAATAAGGGAACATGAATATCAATGTCAGCCACTCACCAGTTTTGTCAGAGTTACAGAGTAGTGTCTCTTTCTCAGCTCTGAGCCCTGGACTGGGCCCATGCTTCATCCAGGTTGCTATGGTGAACTGGTCTGTCAGATTCTGGGGTACAACCCAGTCCGGGATTTTAGCCGCCTGATGGCCGTCAAACCTGAAGATCAAGTCACTGTCCCTGCCGCTGTCAGTCACCAAGGAAGCTGTCCAGTTGGTGGCAGTGCTGGGGGCAGGGAGAAGGTCAGTGCTGCCTGAGGAGGCCCCTGGGGTCATCACCGTGGGAACAAATAAGAGGTGCGACAGAAGATGTGTCAATAACAATTAGGCCAGATATGCGGTGTATATTGGCCTAACCTTGGCTATGATTACTTATGAGTAAGGCAGATGGCAGGGCTTAATATGTAATCAATGGGCCGAGATGGATAGAGGATGTGGGTATTGATTCATTGCAAATGAAACTGACTTTCAAAAGGAAAGAGATGTGAGTCACCGTTCACAAATTCAGAGCATAGCTTGCCACTAAAATGTGCCTCTATGGAAACAGAGAGGACATATTGACCGAGTACTATGGTGACACAAAGCGAAAAGACACAGCAAGGACTTGGTTGGGAGGACAGCACGTAGTGTGAATCAGCCAATCATATGAATTGTTTACAGCTGACACTTGTTATATGATCCCAATATGTCTTGATAAAACACACCAATCATTACGGCACTGCATTGAGTCATCTTATTCCCTATCTCTCCTTCCCTTTTAAAAGCAACTCCATCATACTTTTGACACAAACCCTCAATACGTTGAGACCTGAACGATCTTTGTTTTCACTTGACAAACGTTATTTTTGCCATGTCGCTCACCTTGCCCCTGGATGTATTTGACATGCCCTTGCTGATCTATCTTTCTGTGTGACAGTGAAAAATACATTTCATGCGTTTAAACCACATTTATAAACCATTTGTAACAGCTTATGGATGGTAATAAATCAAAGTGGTATGGGAACCATGCTGTTCCGAGAAAAAATGGGCAATGTCAGATTTCACCACGTTTCCCTTGTCCAGGCAAACAATTGCAACATGCATCTGTTCATTCCTGCTAATAACACAACATTAGCACATTAACTGATGTTTTTCCCCATCTGTAAAGCTCTGTTTTTCTCCACCTCATACGCATGCCAGTGTCGACGTTCAGACTCCAGTAATTAGATTCCCTCAGTAAATAAATACGCATCGACTTCTCCAGCACCCAGCTGCAGCCTTCTCTTTGCCCGATGTCTTTGTACATTATCTCAAATTGATTGTGCTTTAAAAAAGCAATTACAATTTATTCTATTCGCTATCAGATAACGATTATGAGGTGCCTGAAAAGGACTCTTTAGCGGTAAACCATGCATGGACCGGGAGCCAGGGGAGGTAGGGAGGGGACGTTATGCATTCAGATGAGCTGGAATGGGGTTTGTGAAGGCCGTTAGTCAAAGATGATGACTCCAGCCCCCCTGCTGGCGGCCCAGTGTGGGCGGGGAGGGGAGAGCGGAAAGGCTCGGCCGCTTTGTTGCTGCTCTGGGCACCAACACGGCAGCTCGGCTGTTCATCAGTCACTGAGGAGAAAGCGTGGCCGCATCTGAGGCGGCTAATGCCCTCACTCTGTCACATCATTAGTGACACAGCTTTAAGTTGCTATTCTGGTGCCTTCATTTAGCACAGGGGTTTACCAGGGACACAAGCGGAGATAAGAGAGCAACACGGACCGGGAGCTTTCAGATGTTGGTTTAAAAAGGGCAGAGAAAGGCGCCTCAGGCCCTGTCTGACCCTGGTACTCAGACCGTGGTTTCCACTGATGCTTTTAGCAGTAGCTTACTTCTAATTCACTGCACTAACTTTCAGTCATAAGTTATCTTTGATCAACCATCCACTGTATATTCTACATATCCACACCATCCCAATAGCGACAGGTCCAACTCTTATGTGATTTACTGCTACATGCCAGAAATGCACACTCAATCTAAGCTGCTTGTCATTCCGGTAACACAAGCATGACTATGGTGTCTGTTTTTTTCTTTTGCAAAACTAACCACAGAGTTTCTGTAGAGATTTCTCAGAGTAGGTCTCCCGGTCACAGCCTTTCCCGATGTGGCTCGTCTGCAGCTCCACTGTGGTCCTCACTGACGACAGTGGCCCGCCACAGGTCTCCAGGTGCATCTTAGGAAACAGCTGCTTACTTCCTGTTCCTGGCTCATAGTCCACTCGCTTATTCCAACCTGGGAAGAGAGGGAGATGGAGTGGTAGTGTTAGGGATGGTAGAGAGGATGAATTTAACTGCAGTCTTCTGTATGGAAACACACAAGCCTGCTGCAGATTACTATCTGAAATTATATCTGATTATCACAAGTTGTTGCTTTTGTTACTGCACGTTGTTCACCTCATTTTGTTCATTTAGGCTACCATCAAAACAAGACTCCATTTCCAGTTTTTTACTGTCACTGATATTTCTGGCATCGCAACTCAATATCCTCCTGGCAGAATGTGCCCGGCTAATGAAATTGCTGCATTGTTGTTGGAGTGCAGTGCAGTACCTGCATTAGCGGCAGTAGTCATTATGCTGTCACTGTCTGTCCTGTCAGCTGTGAATTGGGTTTTCTGTCCAAGCAGGCTATTATTTTGTGCGCCGGCAATGCTTCTGCTTTTCTCTTCATTTTATTCCAGCCTCTGTGGTGTGAATTTGTGTTTGTCTGCACAGTCTCTTCCAGAGATAACAAGAGAATGAACTGCAAAATTATGTTGTCTGTTTAGTGTTTATATGAGTTTTGTTTACAGTGAGCCGATCTCACTCATTATCTCAGTTTCAAACAGCGCACTCGGCATATCCATAAATGCTGCCAAGACAGATTTCCAACATTTGCACAGTCAGATGCCTGTCAGTCTGATTACCTTCTTCTGTCATACAGCGGCATCATTGCACCATCACTGTATGAAACGTTCTTTAACAGCTAACTATACCACCTCAAAATTCTATCTATCTATCTATCTATCTATCTATCTATCTATCTATCTATCTATCTATCTATCTATCTATCTATCTATCTATCTATCTATCTATCTATCTATCTATCTATCTATCTATCTATCTATCATTGGAGCTGGAGGTATAAGCATGAAGCTGAGATGACACTAGAGAAGAAAAAAGGGAGCAGCTCTTTGTTGCTCACCAGCCTGTTAAATCTGCCATGTTCGCTTCCTCACACACTCACCACCTCATGCTCAAACACATACACACACTGCATCTGTTTTGTAGCTGATTTACCTCCTCCAGTCTGTGAGTGCTGTGGGCTGCTGCAGCGCTGTTACTATGGAATTGTCAGTGGCTGTGATGAGAATAGGCAGAAAAAATGGTGCACACTGAACGAGAACAAAGACTTGTGCATGAACGCAAAAAAAAGGACACAAACACAAAGGGCTGTGCTGATTTATGCGTTTTTCTGTAACCCACATTTTTCTTTTGCAGACAATTACTGTACATACTGTATACATAGCTATGTCCTCCCACCTGTTGATTGGCCCTAATTATATCACCATATTCTGTAGTCCCCTTTGTGGCTTTAACGCTCATAGCTAGTAAGGTTCCACCAGCTGATGCTTCAAGCGATTGGCCCAGGTTTTTAGAACCATAGGCAATATAATATATAAGAACCATACTCAAAGCTTACAATGATAGCAGACAAACAGCAATCTTTATTTGTATGACGGCAAAGGAGATCTGTGTGAAGAGCAATAAAACAAAAAAATCCAGTTTACTTTCACAGCAGAAGTTCATCATTATTCTTCCACTGGCCATTGCTAGAGACCTAGATACATTTAATTCCATTTGAGCTGAATAAACAGCATCTTCTTCCTGTTTTCTACCATTAAAGGAATAGTCTGACGTTACTGGATCTCTGGCCAAAAGTAAGATGAGAAGATTGATATCACTTTCATCTGTATGTTTGATATATAGCTGGAGCGAGGAGATGGTTAGCTTAGATAAGCATAAAGACTGGAAACAGGGGGAAAGAGCTTTTTTTGCAGCCTACTATAACATTACAGTAATGTTATTTATTGCAGGGTAATGATACTGTATAGCAAGAATTCCCTACAAAATATAACGAGACTAAGATATATAGGATATAGGATGTATTGATCTTCTAATATAACACTCAGATCAAATCAGATGTATTGCATTTAATGTAAAAGGCGGTGTAGATGCCAAAAGAAAGCATTCTCACTAATAATCTTCTATTACAATAACTGATGTAATGTCTCAAAATGAACACAGCAATGAATAGTTGATAAAAAGGGCTACAGTCACCTTCAAATCAAGTGGGTTATGTGTTTGCTGAATCTGTTTTCTAGTCTTTGTTTTTGCTGTGCCAAGCTGAGTAAAGGAATGACGCTGCACCTTTCAGATTCAGGTTGGAGAGAGGGCGTAGCAGGTGCTCTGGTAATAACATACTCCATCGACAACTGGGAGTCAAATGACCTGTCGAGGACTTGGCTTTAACACTGCCTAGCTGGCTCCACATCCAAAGAGGGGAGGGGAGAACAGCCTGGTTAAGGATGCACAGAAAGGAGTGAGGAAATGTGGAAGGATAACTGAGGGGTAATGGGTGGAGGATGTAGTGTGCATATAGGGATAGCTGTGAGGGAAACCTTGGGCTGAGCTTGTAAGTGGGTGATTAAGGTTTATGGGTTAGAGAGCATTTGAGGGATAGTGAAAGGTGATGACTCTGAGGTGGTTTCACTCTCAACACCTCTTAATAGTTTTTAATCTCATGGAGTGAACACCTGTAGTCTATTTGTGTAGAGGGGGCAGTGACCAGCACTAATCCGATACCTTCAGATATATGGATACATAGAGAAAACTGTTTCCAGCCAGGGCACGTAATTTAAATTTATACTCCAACTGAGCAGCTGTCATTGCCAGTTTGAAGAAGAAAGAGTGAGCCTATCATACCATTTACTCACATTTTTCCACTCGCTTTTAGCTATGCTAGCTGTGTTGCTCTATGGAATGCATGTTCCTCAGAAGACGTATCCTAATGACTTTTTCTGTCCATGATTTATGATCAAATAACTGCAAAACTAATGACATTCTTATCAGCCTCAGCTGTAGCCTACTTTATGTTTAGTGCTAAGTAAAATATGCTAGCAAGCTCACACGTTCAACTAAGATGGTGACCTCAGTAGACATTAGCTGCTAAAAATACAGTAAGTATGTCAAAATTCTATTTGTGAGAATGTTAGCATGCTCAGATTGGCATTTAAATGGTAAATAATAAACGGTACAATGTACTTGTACAATGCATGGAATGGCGCCGGCGACAACAGCAGCCTGTCATGGCAGCTCCTATCATTGTTGTAGTGTTCGAGTGTTTTCAGTGTGTTTTTTGCTATTTTTAACTGTTTTCTTACTTTCTTACTATTTTGTTCACGTCGCCTAAATACTTTTTGGGCATTTTTGAGCACTTTTTATTTTTTGTTTGCACGGGTCTCCATGGCGACGGCGAGTCGCATTGTTTACACCTGCGACCAGATGATCGCCCTGAGGTACCCTGGCATCCTGACTGGAGAGGGACCCTCCATACCGGAGGAGCTGAGGAGGTGAGGCTGCAGAGCGGGGGTTAAACGGAGGATGAAGAAGAGGAGGTTTAAACCCTACAAACGTGGCTACACGAGCAGATACCGGACTCCAACGTCACCATTCCCGGCTCCCAGACGGTTCGAGCCGACAGGGACACCACTGCGACCGGCATGAAGAAAGGAGGGGGACTGTCCGTGCTCATAAACAACAGGTGGTGTAACGCCGGGCACGTCTGTGTGGAAGAGCATCTGCAGCCCGGACATCGAGCTCGTCCCCGTCGGACTTCGTCCATATTATCTGCCACGGTGGCTTTCCAGTGTTATCATCATCCCTGTCCATATTCCTCACAGTGGTCTTCATCATCACCATCACTGTTTACATTTATGATGTCTTATTTATTCTCCTGTACAGCACTTTGGTCAACTTTGGTTGTTTTTAAAGTGCTTAACAAATAAAGTTGGATTGGATTGTATAATGCCTTTCTAGTCTTCTGACCACTCAAAACGCTTTTACACTACATGCCAGATTTGCCCTTTCACACACATTCACACAGCGATGCACAGCATCGGGAGCAATTTGGAGTTCAGTATCTTGTTCAAGGATACTTCGACATGTGGCAGGAGACTACCCACCCTGCCTCTGCACCACAGCCGCCCCTTACAACCTCACAAAGAGCGGCTATAGACAATATGCAGAGTAACTCCCTAACCACTATGCAGGGTTTCCTGCAGCACTTTGCAGTGCACACACAACTACCGCCTTGTCTACGTTGTCCCAAAAAAAGAAAAGTATATCCGCCGTGTTACTCTATCCTGTTTTCTCCCTTTCATTCCAAACCGCGTTGCGTTTACATGAGGTTGTCTTATAGCTATACGTTTGATGATTGCACTAGAAATTCACTCGCATTGCACACAGCCAAATGGACAGAAAGATGCAACCAAAAATTGCGGGCTTCTTCGTACGATGAAGCAGGCCTACCTCACCATCCGCTCCACCCAAAACTCCAAAATCCTCAGGAGGTTCACATACTTTCAAGCAGTTCTGTATGTGGCTGCTTTCATCACCAACCAGCTAACCCCTTCCCCGCCTCTCCTATAAAAGCTCTCCAAACTGTGGCCACAGCCGTTTTGATATTCACCGGAGACTCGGCTTAGCTAACATTACAACACAAGTAACCTACCACACAGAAACTTTTACAAACGGCTGTGAATTTGCTTCTAGTGACAAAGCTCCAGCGGACTCTCTTTGTTCCAGTACACAGAGTCTGACAGCAGCTGTTCATGGCTGGTTAGCTCGGTTAGATCTGATTACCGGGAGCTGTATTCTTGCTACACTAAGCGGTGGTCAGTCTTTCACTCTGGCCAGTGTTACCTCCCTTGTCACACACTGTGCCAATTACACACAAAGGTTTACTGTAAAACACTAGGTGTTGGGCTCATGAGTGACCCCACTGTGACAGAAGCAGATGATGAATGTAAACAGCGGGTGTGAAGTGCACCGCCCTCAAATATAATGAGGAATGGGCCGGCTGGTAGGGGGTGAGTTACAAGGTGCAGCATATCATGAAAACAAATCAGAAGACCGAATACAGTAGCAAATGTTCTTTCACACCAAAAGACACATTTCTTTTTGAGACACGACTTC